TCATCTCCTTTAAAGCCGTGCTGCTCTCTTAGCAGTAATAAATGAGAAGTATCACCAAATTTCAGAGGGATTGTATGGCCTTCCATTATTTGAAGTGCTCCTCAGTGAAAAGCAGCGTAAAAGGCGCAGCGGTAACCCTATTCATCGCCTTCGGGAAGGAGAGCCGTGATGAAGTTGTTGGTCACTCTGGACGTTTTCCAGGACATGCCTGAAAAACAGGGAAAGCATTTCTCAGGCGAGGTGAGATTTCCCTAAATGAAGCCGTTGTGCAGCGCTGAGGTACCTTTGGATTTTGGGTTTGGGAAGGTGGATCCAGATGAGGCCGCCTTACCTTGTGCCTCAACCTTCTTGGAAGGAGTGGTTTCCCCTCAGGCCTCTGACTTTCTTGTCAGAGTGTAGACTTGAATGAAGCTGCGCTAATGAGATTTTAGAGACCCAGCTGCCCCTGCGAAAGCAGCCTGATGCTTCTGCACCAGAAGTTGACATATGAACAGCCCTTTGAACCGCTGAAAGACAACTCTGTCAGATCAGTTACTCTGGCAACAGCGTTTCTAATGGTGATTAGCTCTGAAATTGCACACAATGAGGAGTTGGTTCATTAGGGAGGCCTTGTTCTTGGTTTCAGGGAGAGGGTTGACCTGATATCCCCACCTCAAGGGCGTTCAGACTTGGGGAAAGGCAGCCCATTTCCTCCGAGCTGCTGAGAGGGGAACAGGAAAGCTTTGTTTGTCATCTGTGGAAATCAGCACAGGTTTTCACTGCCAACAGTTAACTGAATGGGTCTGTGAAGGAGCCGTGGTGGTTTGCATACAGATCTGACGAGCCATGGGAAGCTCTGCAAGGGCAAGCAAGCGCTGCGAGGCCACTTACAGGCTGCTAGACCACCAAGCCTTCCTGCTTTGCTTTGCTTTGCTTTACTTTGTTTTACTTTGCTTCCAATCCAGAGGGAATCAAGTTAGTGGGACCGCATGCAAACAGCAGTTTGCTTAACAAAAAGTCATATTATGATGAAAGTGGCAGAGGGTGGGAGATTGGTTTTGTTGTGGTGAGCTGGGGTCAGGCGGGGAAGAAGAGACGTTCAAGTGAAGAGCTTCCTATCCCAATGTGCACATTTTATTCGTCCTCCAGAAGAGGAATTTCACACGCTTTTGATTAATGAGACCTTAAAGGAAAACGCATTTTCTCGCTATTGTAGTTTGTGAAATTAAATTTGCACGTACAGCAAAGAGACATCAGTCTTCCCCAAAGACCAAACGTTTGCTAAATGTAAATATGCCTGGTTTATAACTCTGAATATTCTTGGCATATTTCCATTTATTTTCAGAAGAGTTCCTAACTTTGGAAATAAGTCGTATTTGCTTTTTAACTTTATGTAGATGGCTTATAGTAAAAATCTCTCTTAGTTTGAGTGTGAAAGCAGAGAGAATGCAGTTTGTGTTCTTTTCCAGAATAGCTAAAATATCTGTCTCTTGCTTGATTATTTCTGATACTTGCCACACAGAGTAAGTTGGCATTCATCTGTTCTAGAAGCATACCTTAGCAAATATATTTATACTAAATTCAGAAGCACGGAATAATGGTTCGGATGAGATGACACCCAGTATCTGCAGGCCTAAAGTATTTCTGCTTTCCTTTCTTTGTTCATTTTATAGAACAGCACTTACTTTGCTTGCATAGCTTTCTCTGGAGTGATGTTTCAATTTCGAGCACACATTAATCTGAAGCTTTTGACTCTAAGCAGTCTTAAATTGGCTAATGAAATACACTGGCTAGCTTTTATTACCAGAAATACAGAAGGATTTGCATGTACCACAGCTTACAAGAGGCATACCTGAACTTACTGATCTGTTTGTCACAGAGGTCACACATAGCCGCTCGGTTGTCTGAACTGTTCTGTTGTTGCTGCTGCAGTTGGGAAAGCAGTATTCGTGCTGATCTAGGAAGACTGTGACAGAGATGCTCGTAACTCCAGAGTGAACCTGGATGTGCTGTTTAAGGATTTTTCCTAATGCAGACTGGTTAACGAGTTGTTGCTTTGAGACATGACAGAGGTGTAATAACAGAAACAGGCTTGGAGGCTGAACGAGAAGTATAGCTGGTCTCTGGTGTTCTTACAATTACGGTGTATTTTTCTTTTGCTACACAACCATTTAACTGTGTATTTTTCCTCCCTAACTACTGCGTCTGAAGATCTCAGCAGCAGGAGTTAGCAGGTCCGTGGGGTTTTTACTGCCATTTTAAGTTTTGTGTATTTCGGGGCTTTTTTCTCTGGAATAGAAGGTGTAGAAAATGTGATTTTGTAGCAGCACTGCTGAGGAGAGATATGCTGAACCCCTTTTATTGACTTCTGATAGGCAAGATTTAGGTTTCATCTCTTCTCTCAAGGTAGCTTTAGAAAGAGCACAGTGGGTCTTTTGACAGTCCGGCGATTGCCCTGCAGATGATCAGTCACATCTTTCATATGTCGCAAACTTTGAAGGGTCACCGTACTCCTTTAGGCACTTCAGAAGCTCAAATCCCCTTAATATCCAAGGGCAAGTAGCCCCGAGCACTTGAATATTGAATGCAGTCTAATTATGGAGTGAGAGCTCCATGACTGCAATGAAAGAAGCAAAAACTGCTTGGTGTCTGAAAGGAGAGCAGGTCGCCTAATGAAGGAGGGGGAGAGGCAGGAAGGATCGTGCTCTGGTGGGGCTCGTTGCCGAAATGGAGGAGGAATTGGGAAGGTTTGGCAGCTCAGATGGGGAGTTCCATTAGGGGGTATGTCATCTTTCTGACTGAGGGAAAGGCTGTGAAATTTGAGGATAGGAATGGTCTCTTTTCAAGTTTGAAACCCAATTTTAAGAAGGTAACGTTAGATCTGCTGTGATTTTTTTACCATTTTTGCAGTTGGCAGGATCATTTACCCTTGGTGCTGCTCTGTTATCTTTGGAGTAGGATTTCCAGCTACCTTGTGGCTCACCCTTCACAATCCTATCTATGTACATATTTATATGGATTTATGTGGACAATTTGCTTTATTACAAATCTTGGCTTGGCTGTTGAGCTTGTCCTTTGTGGTTGTATCCACAACACTTGCAGTTTGAGCACTGCGGCCGAGCATCCCGTCCTCCTGTTCTCACCTCCTCCAAGAAGCAGGAACACCCCTTGGCAGTCAAAGTCTGTGCATTTCTGTGCAAATGGCACTGAAGTGGGCTAATAAAACCATGCCTGCTTTAGTAGTGCTTCAGCTAGTATTCAGGTAATCCATTTGAGTAGCTAAGTTCAGACTGCCTTGGGAATGCTTTTTTTTTTTTTTTTTTGTGAATTCCTGGCGAGATGTTTGGGCAGGACTGCATGATGTTAGTTAACATAATGTAGGCTACATTCAGACTCGAGGAAAGAAATAAGTGTTTTCCTCAACTAATTACCCCTCCTCCCCCCCTCATGGAGAGTGGAAGATTTTGCTGAGAAGGTAGTGTGGTTTTAATTCAGTTTTGGTCTTAATTTGGGTCTTTACAACGTGATGAAGACAAATCCGTTCACGTATGTTAAAGTCTGACCTTAGGTTTGCTCTCTACGTTCACTAATGTGGCTTAAAATATTTTAATATATGGCTTTCTAGAGTCCAGATCGATAAACCAATGGTTCTGAAATGACAGAGTGCTACGATATTCCTCTGTAATTTAAACATGATTAGCTGATGAAGGTTATGATCAATATGGCAGGGGAAAATAAATTAATTGATATCATCCTTTCAGGATGATAAGGGGCCTATTGGAGGTGGAATGTAAGTAATGAAGCTGCTGCTTCTTATATACAAGCCATTTTTTATACAATATATTCTCACTAAATCATAGTCATGCCATCACTCATTTACATGAAGAACATAAGCCATGGACCAGTTTGTTATTAAAATTGCATTTGAGGAGAAACTGTATGCTTACTCTGCTAAACAGTACCTGCCTGTTTTGCACTGCATCGAGGCATTTACATCATTATCTTTTGATGTTCTCTGAATAATACAGATTGAGTGCTGTTAGTTTAATCACAGCAAGTTTCTGTGCGACTTCTTAAGTAGATGCCAGTCATCATTGCAGTTCTGACTGCTTTGGCAGGGACAAAGCAAGTGGCTGTGGCCTCCGTTGCAGAGTGTCAGGGCAGTTCCTTGATTTTTGGAGTAAGAAATAAGTATTGATGTGATCCAGCATGAGTTTGTATGCTCAGTGGAGTTTGAAAGCTGGGGTCTGCATTAATCTGTGTATTTGGTTTAAAGTTAAGCTGTGCCTAGTATAAATTGAAATTTCAGTAGACTCCAGCATACTTGAAATTATGTAGGATCTGAAATGGTGTGACTTTTTAAAATGGAAAAGTTGCAGGAGATGTGTGGATGCTGCTGTGTTTCAGATGGGCTCTGTTTCCTTTTATATATATGCACATAAAATATTTATGTATATATGTATTTTTAACCAGTGTGTTAACTTGTAGGCGGAGATATTAATGACAATAATTACATGAACTAGAAATCACAGTATAGCTTCTTTTTGCAAATGGAGAGGCTGCTCTGAAAGTAGTGCCTCCTATTTTATTACCTTGGCCCATGATGTCAGAGGCAGATGTTGGTGATATGACTGCAGAGGTTGAACTTCCCTGCCAATATTCTGTTACGTTTTGTTGCTGTGCATCTGGCTATTTTGGGTGAATTCCTGGGAGTATTTTTTCTAACTTGCACACTAGAATTATCCCCTTCTGTTTCAGTCTTACTGGTTTAGGTGTACTTACCTGGTGGGCTGGGACAATTTCATCCACGTGGAGAACAGAGCTCTTGGCTCCTGTGAAGCATCCATCATCCTCATTGGATGCACTATGCTCAGTTTTTGAAGCAGCCTTCAACAGTGGGAAAAATTATGCTGTGCCCTGTTTTGTATTTTGTATATTCTGCATATTTTTGACTTGCCATATTTTTCAGTGTTGCCTGTAGCTTATCTGCCCGTATGTTTTGTTTTTGTTTTGTTTTTTAGTTGCTCAGAAGATCGTTGCGACGAGGAAGAAGCAGCAGCTCTCAATAGGACCCTGCAAATCCCTACCAAACTCTCCAAGTCACTCATCTGTGTGTTCTGCCCAGGTTTCTGCTGTACATATCAGCCAGGTACAGCCTAAAATCAGTGCTTGCCTTAAAAATGAGCTAATAGGTTGCTTTTCATCTCGTGTGTGTAATGTCACCGCTCATTTTCCTGCTTGATGTAGGTAGTTGGCACTTCTTGAGAGGCATCAGTGATCTGTAGTTTAAAGCAGTGTTTTTAATTGTCTTTGCTTTGTTTCACGTAACTGTGGTGGTGACTTACTTTGGCTTTCAACCACTTTTCATGGTACTGATTATGCCCAGCAGCCTGCTGCTCTGAGCAGACCAGTTGTCACAGTAGCAGGATTTGCTGTATGGCTTTTTAAAATCACCTCACAGTGTTTGTGGTTAATGGTCTCATTCAGTAGTATGAGCAGTAGTACCTGGTGTATCTGAGTGCTTGGCACTAGGATTTTACTATGGTTACCACTGCGTGCAGTTGTAATTGCCTGTCTCTGCTGATGCTCAATTGAAATGATTCCACCTAATGGCCTGGCAGTGTATATCACTAATGAGATGATAGATAGAGGAAAGCAAAACAGAAAGCTGCCTTTATTTATGGCAGGAAAACACGCTGGCCTTGAAGCCAAAGTGCTGTGTTTTTGGGAACATTTGGCTAATACTAAAATTTTTTAACATGCACAATTTTTACCCACATGCATTAATACTGACTTCTGTATTTCTGCTGTGACATCTTCCCTCATTGTCTTTTTCTATTGACAACTGATAATCTGTGTATATTCACAGGGTGGATAAATACAAGCTCCAGTGTTGACATACAAGCCTTCTGCAGACAGAAGAACTGTTTCCCACTGTGCTCTTTCACTCTTGATAGTTAGATTTATAGGCCATCTTACTGGCCCCTCTGGTATATGACCAGAACTGTGCCCTACTGTCCTGATTTTCACTGGAGCAGTTGGAAATGTCTGATACCCACCATTTCTCCTGGCAGATTTCTAAGTCTTAAATGCCAGTAATGTTTTCTGGTGTTACATAGCAGTCCCGAGCAACCCATTTCACATTTTGTTCTGTCAACCCTCCTGCTTTTTAGCAAAACCAGCATAGTAAGAATTACGCTCTCTTTGTGAGAGAGAATTTTTTTCTCTCACTTGCCATGTCAGTGTCTTTCAGAAGCGCTCTTTTAAAATTTGGGCCACTGGATGAAGGTTCTGGTTCTCCTGGTCTCCTTTTGTACCCCAATGGAAGCCTCCACCATTGAGTTAACTCTGCAGGTGTGGAAGCCAGTTTAGCTATAGAGTTCTTTGCATTGCAATGTTCAACCCAAGTACCAGCCTCACATTGTGACTCTTCTGAAGAACTGTTCATGGTGAAATATGTTCCTCATATGGAAGAACTTCTTCAGTTTCTTGATGTATATGACATTCAGCCACTTTCTGACCGGGTCATTTCCCTTGGCACTTTGAAGTAGCCCACTGCTTAAAATGCTTTTCTCCTGATCCAGTTCCTCCAGACAGTTCTATAAGCTGATACTTTTAGACCAAGATGAATTATGCTGTATAGAACTTCAGTACTGAGACCCATCCTGTTTGGTGGTTGAAGAGGAAAGTTGCTGTGATGGAAGTGTGTTACAACGTGTTTGAATGGCACAATTTCTGTTGTGATCTTATTCTTGGATCTTATCAGGACTTCTTTTCCTCTGCTGGTTGTCATATAGTTTTTAAAGACATCCTACAGAGGATAGGTGATGATACTTTTTACAACCCAATTTTAGCCAAATACATCCCTGTTCTGCATTTTCTTAAAACAGTTGTGATTAATCTTCTTGTTGATAAAGCCTGTTTGGTTAAGAACATGAAATATCTCTGTTCTTAACAGTTTCCCACTCAAGGACAGTTTGGACAGTGGCAGCAAATACCAAATTCTAGACAAGTATTTCACCTACTTCTTGCCAGGAATAAGAACTGTTTGGGAAAATCAAGGTAACTTATGTGATAAGAATCCCTGAAATCTATTCCTATGATCTTGAAATAATGTTCTTTACCACATTTGTCGAGTGACATAATTAACAGAAGTAATAGCAGCTCTGCCCAGAGATGCCTGTCTTCTGAGACTATGTTTGGATCATAAACCTGCTTCACATCTTACTGTCTTGATGCAGCACTTATTGGCAGTAGGACCTTGGTTAGAGTGAGTCCTTATCCTAGACTTAAAAGAGTATTACAGATGCAGTTCCAAGTTCCAGGTGGTTTTGAGGATAATTTACCATCTCTGATCCTCACAAGAGGATTGACTCGTGTTCTTTAGAACATCTCTTTGGACGTGATGATGCTTCACTGAGGTTTCCCAGAAATGCTGTCTTTAGAAGGCACTGTCACCTGCATTCTCCACAGGAGTTAAGATCTTCACAAGTAGTGGTTACAGATCACTGCAGATAAGATGATTTTCCTTCTATGGTTAGATTACTCTGGCAATCCAACTTTGTCAAACTCTATGATGATTCTGTGTTCAAGAGCTTGACCTTCAGAGGAGAAAGAGTACAGTATCACCATACCCAGGCTAGCCCTAGGGGTAAATTCTAAAGCTTAATTCATGCAAGGACTTCTACACAGAGTAGTTTCTGTTTTCAAAGTGTGGAAAGCTTGTGTATTTGGATGTGTGTCTACACTTATGTTAGTAGTCCTAGTTGGTGAGCATCTAGGTCACGTTTCTGGCCAGAAAATACTCTTAGGTATGCCTATGCTTGGTGCATATGTATTTCCAGACTGCTGTCTCAGGGAATGTGAGATGCTTCCTATCCCAGTGACAGAACTCTGCTTCTATTTGCAGTAGGTACTGCTTTTGTTTTTCTCCAGCTTTTTTTTTATATTGTGAAGGTGAGGGTTTTACCTGCAAGCCTTTGATAGCCAGGGTCAGTAACCTTTGGTGCAAGCAATTCACATCCATTCATGGGCTTTCAGGGCAGTACAGAATTCATGCATAGTATTTTTTTCTCAAATTCAAGGATATCATTCACGATTTTTCACATTCTGGTCTTTCTGAACACTTCAAGAACTAGATTGAGTTGTAAGGCAAGGAAGAGCTGCTGTTTGTTGAAGACATTTAGTCTTCGATGTATTCTACCAAGGATCAAGGTGTATCAGAAACTGTCATGTGAAGTGACCCCATACCTGATAACCCATCGAGTGGTTACCCTAAGATGTGTCTGTACCTTTTGCATAGTTTGTTGATAAAACATGTGAAAATCACATGACATTTGATACCTTTCTGTATTTTGTGGACTTTGCCTGTTTAAGCTCTCTGGGAGAGAACTGAAATGACAACGTCCTTGCCGTGTGTGCCAGCACTTTTCCACACATGCCTGTAGTACATGACAGAGAGGGGGGCCTTAAATGCCACACTCTCCATGCTCTGAATTTAAGAATATTGCCTGAGAATTGAGTGCTGTCTTGTAGGCCTCCCCCAGCATCATTATTCATGCAGAGTGTTCATGCACACTGCTTCCTGGTCAGCAGTGTAGCATTCCCAGGAGATCAGCATTGCATCTCTGAAAGGTATGGGGTATATATACATACATACTGCTAAACTGCAGCTCAGGCACGGCTAGCATTTGAGCTTGCTACCTGCTGCAATCTCATAAAGATGCATTACTTATGGCTTACATCAGGCTTCCAAAAAGTTTTTTACAGCAACGGTCTAAATACATAAATTAAACTGTTGCAAGAAAAGTGCAGTCTGCTTAATCGTCCATTATTTTACTGTTTGTGAGACCTGATTGTGGTAAGTAGTAACTAACAGGGTACCATTATCTTATTTACAGTGGGGATCACTTGGGAGAAATGTTGTGTTATAATTTGCACAATCAAATACAGAAGTGCAAATTGCATTTAGTGCCACTGCAGCATTCATCAGAATGCTTTGTATGTGCAAGATTAATTTTAAGTAATCCCTGATGTTCATTTAAAAATAAATGTAAGTACATGTATTTCCCTTTATTCACATGCACAGAGCACATGTGCAGGGAAGTGTGTTCTGCAGGACTGGGATGTCACATTTCAGTTCATCTGTTGGTGCACTTTTTCTTCCTTTCTTTGTCCTCGCAAGACCGTATTCATATTCCTATTAGTTTTTATAAAGTCTACTTGTCTCTTTTCCTTTCTGAGGTCAGTTTAAATTTCAGGCTCTGACTTGATCTTCTTTTAGTTCATGAAACAGTGCAGTATTGAAGCCTGTTGTCACGTGCTGTTAATTGAAAGTCATTGGTAGTTTCACTGGTAACTTTTCTTGGATGTGCCAGCCTACTTTAGCCAAGCTGTCTTAAGTTCTCTTGGTACTCAGTCTTGAGCTCTATCAGTCTGATAGGTCTGACAGGAGAAATCTAATCTTTCCTCTGCTTTTTCATTACAAGAAAAGGCAAATGCTCCTTGGATTAACAAGTCCTAATATGTCCCAAAGGATAAGGTTGAACTGTACTGATTTCCTATATTTGGTCTTAGTGCAGAGGGTGAGACGTACTGAAATCTCAGCACTTATCTGTGTGTAGGTTTGAAATCCAGTGTGAAATTTGTATTCTGTGGCAACACAATCAAAGCTTTCTGGCTTTTGCTAAGGCAAGGAATAATCAGTTTCATCTTCAATCCATCTTTGGATGTGTCCCTGCGTTTGACCAAAATCCCTTGAATAAATTGGACTCCTACCTATAATGTTGTCAGAGATAATGGGGCTTTCAAGAGCAGCACTGTACACAAGTGTGCGGAGAAGAAATGTCCTGACTAGGGAATTTCCTGTATTTCTGCAGAAATGCACTTTTCCTTCCTCTTCCCCAAGAACAGAAGGTGCAGAAACCAAATGTGTTCTGTCATAGAGCATGGAATCTCTGCTTTTGATCAAGGTTTGCTTTATTCCAACTGCTTCTAGGCTCCCTGAAGCTCTGGCAATCTCATCTGTTTTAGATGTAGAACCTGCTGCCTTCATGTTCTCCTCAAGCAGTTGAGATGATTTTTCTTGGTGGGTGTCCCGTTATATCTGGAGAGCAGAAAAACATTGATTGCATTCCTTTTGGGTAATTT